TTAAAGGTTAATCATTGCTGACAGTCTAGTCAGTTGATAATCTTCAGAGATAGGACAGTATTCCCATACTTTTCATGGGGAATGCTCCCATCTTAATTGCTTGCACTGTTTGGGCATTTAATGCTCTTTCTTCAATGTTGAGGTATTGAATGCTTGGATCCTAGAGCATTTAATGCTTCTCTTGCCTGGCTTATCAACCCATGCTAGACGTCTTATCAACTGACAATGCATTAAATGCCTGTCTCTATTAGCCGCATATCAGCAGGGGTAGTTCTGTCTTGTTACCACCCATCTTATGATTTATGCCACGCGTCTGACTCCCTTTGGCTGAATGTCTAGTTCAACCAGTCATACTGACTTTATCGTGTAGAGTGTCATCATAATTGTCTATCTGGCTTTATTTCAGTCGTCAGTCACTGGCTTCCTAAGAAAACAATGACTCAGGGATTGATGTCGTGGTTCCTCGGGGCCGAGATAAATACTAGAGGCAATTCGTCGGAGCAGAGGGGACGCTGAGACCAGGACACATGAACTCGCCAGACCCAGGCAAGGAGAGGCCCTCGGGACCGAGTACACATGTCATCACACCAGCACCCTTCTAGAAATGTCCCATCAACCACCAAGCTCTAGCGAACCAGTCGACTCTTGATCTTCCATTTCGAGTCTTCTCTAGTCATGTCTTTCTTCTTCTTCTCTCTCTCACACACACACACAGAGTCTTTTGTTTTGTCTTCTCTTCTTTTCTCTCTCAATCTGTCTTTTTTGGTTTTGGTTATCCAAATCTAAAGGCAACTTAGAAGAAGAAAACTCTTACTTTGGGTATATTACTTTTGGGATCCCCAAATTTGGGTATATTATTTTTGGGTATATTAATTTTTAGAAGGCATTGCTTTATTATGTTTAATTTTGTTGAGCTGTGTTTAAAATTTTTTTTTAGTAATTTTCTCTTAATTCAAGTGGCTGTTTATGTTATATTATTTCAATCACATCTTCCATTATTGTTAATTGTGTTGGGCGTTATCTCTTGTCTCAAACATAAATTGTATCTATTGTAATATTTTTTTAATTTTTTTTAGCTAAATTATCATATTATATTTTATTTTTATATTTTTTAATACAACCGGTTCAACCAATTGACCCAACAACGATTGAACCAGTGAACCATTGACCCGGTCTCTCTGTCGGTTCAATGTCTGATCCGGTTCTGATAACACTGGTTTAAATACATATATAACCATATCCACAAAAAAATATATCAAATCAGTTTTTTCACCCGATTGAACCAGATCTGAACCAATCATCGGAGAGCTTCAGTGTCTCTGTGTGTGTTTTGCCGGAGAAAACACAATCACCGAAGAAGATGCATTCGTCGGAGAAGACATCGAGTTTGTGGAGAGAGAGAGAGAGAGACGGGGACAAATCATGAGTGGTCTGCCAAAGACAAAGACAAAAGGAAAAAAAAAAGGCTTTTATACTATAACTTGTTTTGCTTCTAAGGAGACTCGGAGGGGACACTTCATTAAATAGGTTGATGTTCTCCGTTTTTTTCATTTTTTTCCTTCTTTTGTCTCCAAAACACGCAAAACAAATTAAACTGGTTCTCTATTTTTTGTTCTTTACATCTCTCTTTTTCCAAAAATTGGAGAACAAAAATTCAAACCAAACAGCCCCTTTATGTTTTCAAAAATAAATTAATTAACTCTGATAGTCTGCGAGCAATGTTTTTAAAAAGAAACTGCTTGTCTTGTGATCCATCGAGATAGTGGTCCACTTTTTATAAGAATGCTCATTAGAACTGAAGAGGTTAAACCTCATGATTACACGTGACATGACATTAAATACGCTCATGTGATGTTGACAAGACAAGGCACGTGATCAACAATCCTCTATCAAAGTTTTTTAACTAAGCCGAGCTAATTAGAGGTTCGGCAATGGATGAAAAATATCGGCTCTCTTTATGACCAAACTCATCAGTCTGTTCAGTTAAGCAATGAAAAAGCTCGGCTTATACCAAGCCGAGTTCGTTATAGAGTTCGGCAAGACAATTGAAGAGATCAGTTTGTGTCAAACAAAGTCCCTTAATCTATTCGGTAAATATCAAGTGTGCTCGGCATTCGACATGACTGAGCTGTTTTAGAAGATAAACAAAAGGATAAAAATTAGCCTATAACTTAGGCAATCAAGATAAATGAATCAGAGAAATTGAAGATATCATAAGAAAATAATAGAGAAATATCAGCAATTTCTCAAACCAAATCATTGAATTGGAGGAAGGTGTTCCACCTTAAATCAAGAATTACAGAAACCCTAAGGGGATGTCCAACTATAAAAAGCAAAATGAGAGAAGTAGAAAGGTACGCTGAACCCTCATTGTCTTCTTCTATTCGTTTCATTATCTTTACTGACTTACACATCAGAGTGCTTTCGATCGAAGTACTTCGATCTTGGACAGTTTGTTCGTTTTGTAGAAAGAGGAAGATTGAGAGGTCAAATTCAGAAACCCATAAACATTTCAATTCTAGTAGGAGGTAATCCTGATTTTTTGCCTCTTACAAGAACAAAGGGGTGGGATAGGAGTTCTGAATTGGGTTGTTTAGATTTGTTCTTCTTCGTTTTTGTGTTTGATGCTATAGCGGGGTGTGGATGGCTGGGGATCTGCTAGTTCATGTGAATCAGAGGGGGGTGGAGTCGGGGATCTGATTTGTCTAATCCACGGGTAGAATAGTAAAATTATACAAAAAAAATTGTCTAATCCATTGGGTCCCACGAAATTTAAAACTTGTTTACAATAATGGCTCGGACGGGATATAGTCCCATCCAATTTAAGTGGCTAAATAAGTTTGGGTTTGATAGGATAAAATATAAATGAAATGGATTACTTACAAATTGTATCCCAAAAAATCTTTTGAATTTTAATTTGTATTTTTCAAAAATTAAAATTTTAATTTACACCTATTGATATAAATTTGTATTAGTGGACAACTGAAATTAACGGCAGTCTAGTTTGCCGTAAAAAGTTAGAAAGATATAAAGTTAAAGGGATATATATAACATCACGTTTGGTAAAAAAGGAAAATAACAATAATAAAAAAGTAGATGTATAAACTTTTTTTTCAACTCATCAAAATCAATCCCTCCAAAATCGGAAGGAAAGTGGATAGAAAGTTAATTATTTATGTTGAAATGTATCTTATTTGTCTATATATCCTTTGATATATATATATATATATATATAAATTAATTGAATATATAAATACAATGATAAAATATGTATTACACTTTTTATTTTAAAAATATAAAAAATAAAAAAATATATGTTTTCCATCTTACCGAGCATAAAAAAAATAAACATTTTTATTTTCATATATTCTACCAAAAACAAAAGAAGAAAATTGTATCATTATTATTTTTTTTCTTTGAAATATAAAAAGTGTATCATATGACTGGGTGTTCCTCAAATTGGACATCTAAATAATTTTGTTCAAGTAATGTATTGCATTGTATATAAAGACCATTATATAATACCAGTATTATTGAACATTATATAATACATGTATTGTATTGAACATTCAAAAAATAAGCTTAATTTTAAATTTTATAATACAATTGGCCCACAAAATAAATGATAGTATAAAAATTATAATTATTTATTAGGATGACATCATATTTTTCAACAATTACATGAACAGATATTGACGACAGAAGATTATTTGTTAAACGCGTGCAAACGTCAGGGGTGTAAATGTAATATTCTAAATGTGATGGGGTATAATAATTAAGTGACAAACCTAAGGCTTTCTAGGTATAATTTACCTATTTAGTTTTAGGCAGCAAAATAACAATTGTTAAGTTTAGGTGCACATTGATATAGATTTATATATTTGAGGGTATAAATTAAAATTTTTTATCTTTGAAGGTTCAAATTAAAATTTGAGAGATTTTTTAGTGTGCAATTTGTGATTAATCTAAAAAAAATCCTATTTTACCCAAACACACTTTAACAATTGGGTCAAGCGTAGATCACTGAGTAAGAACAACACATGAGAGTGAGAGCTATAAAATGACAAAATTCAAAAAAAATAAAAATTGAGAGAAAGTATTTTGAAAATCTCATATTATATACATACGAATATTTATTCACCAATAAAAATTTAACAAAATTAAAATAATTTTTTGAGCAATAATAAAACTAAAATATAAAAAACTTAATTTAATTCACAAACTATATAACAAACTATGTAAATTTTAAATATATATTGAGTATAAAATTCTAAAATAACAATTACAGTTTACAAATATCATTATAATTTAATATGTATTGAGATATATATAAGTATATAAATAAATAAGAGTATGATTGTACGAATTGAAAATTTAAATTTAAAATTTTTATAAAATAAGAGTACGAATTCACGAATAATTTATTTGCAAAATGAAAATTCAAACTATAAGCGCCGACTATTTTGAGGGATTTAATTCAAACGACAAGTCGTGGCATAACGAGCTGCACTCATGTATCCCTATTTCCAGCCACTCGTTTTGTACAATACGGTACGCGGAATCTTCCTGCTAAGTTCTAAGTTCTAAGTTCCTAACTCCTTCCCCAAGTTAAACCCCTCTCTACTCATCAAGCAGAACGTTTTAGAATACATTTGATACCTCCCACAATGCGTATAAAAGGCAACAATCCACTACTCAGTAATCCATAATAACCCATTTCTCAAATCTCTATCCCACACCTAAACAATCTCTTAAACCAATACAAAGTTTCTCACCACTATGGGTATGGTTTTTGAAAGATTTGTGTTGAAACGCCGAAATATGAAGTTATTCAATCCAAAAACGACTACGAAATTCGGAAATACTCACCATCAGTTATAGCCGAAGTCACATACAATCCCACCCAATTCAAAGGCGACAAAGATGGTGGATTCACTGTTTTAGCCAATTACATTGGCGCACTGGGTAACCCACAGAACACCAAGCCGGAAAAGATTGCTATGACAACTCCGGTCATAACGAAATCATCAGAGAAGATTGCCATGACTACACCGGTTGTGACAAAGGCAGGTGGGGATGAGGGTAGAATGGTGACTATGCAGTTTACATTACCGGCGAAATATGGGAAGGCGGAGGAGGCGCCGAAGCCGGTGGACGAGAGGGTGGTGATAAGGGAGGAGGGAGAGAGAAAGTATGCGGTGGTGAGGTTTAGTGGGGTGGCAAGTGATGAAGTGGTGGAGGGGAAAGTAAGGGGGTTGAAGGAGTGGTTGGAGAGAGATGGGCATAAGGTGGTTGGGGAATTTGTGTTGGCTAGGTATAATCCACCTTGGACTTTGCCCCCATTTAGGACTAATGAAGTCATGATCCCTGTTGAATGAGTTTTACAAGGTGGTGCTTGGGGGTGGAGGGGTAGTCTAGTGCTGTATGTTTTGTTGTTTTGGTCATGGAGGATTTAGTTTATATGGGTATATGTTGTGGGTTTTGAATAAATGGCTCTTCGTAATTTACTCGATTGTAATTTGAATGTCATGGTTCAAATCACATTAAAAATCTATCTATTCTATCGTTTTTTGTGGTTCTAATTTAGAGATCCATGTAATTTGTTTTGTAGTGAAGAAGTGTCTCATTATGCAATGCAAACATCGAATGTGCAATACTTGCGTTCCTCTCCAAGAGAACGCGATTTATATTAGTCTATGTTTGTGAATTTTGGATAGATTGCCCTAGCTTTGTCAGTAAACCATGGTTGTTTAATTTCTAGTAATGTTTTGCAACATCCCAGCACCTAGCACACAAATGGAACTTTCTATTTGTTGATTCACCACCTCTGCAGGCTATTAGGCTTGACAACCGGTAGCTATTTTGCTCCACAGATGAACCAGAAACAGTCATCTTCCAGTGAATTGAAACCTGACACTAATCATAAGGAAGATGGTGAGCTGATCTGTTAGATCTGATTAGTTATCATAATGCTGGGAAGCCATAAGATGCTGTTTCATGTAGATATCGCGCTAATCAGCAGAAGATGGTAAAACTATTCAGCTTACACTAAATCCTAGTTGAATGTATGAACGAAATATAAACAAAAGCTAGTCTAAATGCTACCACAAAGGCAACGAGACCTTTCTAAATGTAGCTACCGGTACCACATCTCTAAACAACTTAAACTACTAACACATCTCTTACTATTGTATCGTGTGCTTCGAGTGATCACCGCAACTATTATGATCATTGAGACTCTAGTTACAGCAGTGAACATAATTTGAATATCTAGGCACATAATCTTGAAAAAAAAGAAAAGAAAAGGATCTCTGGGATGTCTGGTTCTCTTATATATGAATATACAGTTTACTCAATAATTCCCTCAAAGACATAAAAAAATGCTTATCAATAACTCCCCTGCTATGATACCTCACCTAATCTATGCAACAACCAAACTGGGGATAATGCACTCATTCCATGGCAATCATAGTTATGTACATTCTTTGTTGAATGGATCACCTTTCAATATAAGACTACAACTTTTGATCGCATTCTTAAAGTATCTTGGAATCAAATTAACATTGACAGACAACCTAACAATGGTTCTAACATCAGTTTGAAGTTGATTTCAGGATTAGTTCACATAAGCGATCTAATCTGCATGACTGGCGTGACAAATCAAAAGAAACTTCATGAGTTCGGCTACAATGATTCAGTTTTCTTTCACCAAGTTCCCCATGGCTGAGGTGCCGGGGCATCCAAGAATCCCATCCAAGTAGTTTGCAAAATTTAGGTTCTATTTGCCAAATTCTTAAATTAAAGCGACAAGAAAAAATTGCTTTCAGGACTGTAAGATTTGATAACGATAATTATGGAAGTTTTGGTATTTGATACACTTGAAATAATTGTTAGTGAAAAAGGTATACGAACTAAGTGTAGAGCCCCGTATATATAGTCAATGAAAGTTACAATAAGGATAAAAAGGTAAAAAAGAGAAAATTTAATAAACCATAATAAACTAAGTTGTTATATCTCCAACACTCCCCCTCAAGTTAGGCGCAAAAATGTCAACTAAATCAAGCTTGATAATAGAGTCCCGAATAATGGATAAAGTGTCAGGTTTGGTGAAAACATCCACAACCTGATCACTAGTCCCCACAAATAATGGAATGACAATGCCACTGCTAATCTTCTCCCGAAGAAAGTGAATATCAATCTCTATATATTTCGTCCTCTCGTGTAATACAAAATCAGAAGCGAGCTGAATAGCAGATCAATTATCACAATATAAAGTAGATGAAGAAGTCACTAGAAGTCCCAACTCGCCAAGAATCGATCGTAGTCAGATAATCTCACATGTGCCAAGTGCTAGTACTCGATACTCTGCCTTTGCTGACGAAAGAGAGACAACTGACTGTTTCTTACTTTTCCAAGAGATAAGATGAGTCCCTCGAAAACCACAGAAGCCCGTAGTAGAATGACCATCACATGCTCCCCCATAATCTAAATCTGAATAACAGGCTAGAAAACTAATCTGAGATCTTGATGCATAGAACAACTCAAGTCCAGGACAAGACTTGAGGTACCGAAGAATATGATAAACTGCATCCAAGATGTGGCTGACATAATATGTGCATGAACTGACTAACTCGGCTAACAGCGAATGAAATGTCTGGCCTAGTATTGACTAGGTAGATAAGTCTACCTACCAACCTCTAATAGACAGTCGGATCTCCCAACTCCTCACCTTAAGCAGTAAGCTTTAGGTTTGGAATCATGGGTGATGATACCGGTTTGCACCCCAGCATCCTAGTGTCTGAGATAAAGTCCAGAACATACTTTCTCTGAGAAAAAACAATACCTCTGCTGCTATGGGCAACCTCAATCCCAAGAAAGTATCGCAAAAAATTCAAGGTCCTTCACATTGAAGGCCTTCCCAAGGTCCACCTTAACCTGCACAGTCCCAGAAACATCATCTCCAGTAATAATAATATCATCAACATATACGAAAAGGATGACACACTGTCTGGAAGTATTCCGTCAAATGAAGCAAGTATGATCAGAATGACATCTGGTGAATCCTAAATGTATAACTATATCACTAAAGCAAAAGAACCAGGCTCGTGGTGACTGTTTCAATCCATAAAGAGACTTACGCAGTCGACAAACCTTTCTAATAAACTCCCCCTCACCACGAAAGCCCGGTGGTGCATTCATATAAATAATCTTGTCCAGATCACCGTGAAGAAATGCATTCTTCACATCCCACTGATGAAGAGTACTCGGTAGCCAGAGAAATAATCAGTTGAACAGTAGTCAATTTTGCCACGGAGGCAAAGGTAACACCAAAATCACGATCTGGTACCTGAGTAAAGCCCTTTGTCACAAGCCTAGCCTTGTGACGATCAATAGTACCATCCGCAAGAAACTTCAGGATGTAAACCCAGTGACAGCTAACAAGCTTCACTCCTGAAGGTAAAGAGACAAGATCTCACGTATGATTACGCTGAAGAGCGTCCATCTCTGTCTACATGGCAAAAATCCACTAGGACTCCCGCATAGCCTCTGAAATAGAGCGAGGAACCGGCGTATCTGATAAGGTCATACTATAAGCTCGAAATGTAGGAGACAGATCATCATAAGAAACATAAGCAAAGATCGGATATAAAATCCTAGTGGTCCAACCATAATGAACAACTGGACAACGATTACGCTGTGGATAACGACGTCCTAAATCATCATCGTCCACTAATAATGTCTCATCAGGTAAAACAATTGGCTCAGTACCTGCAATCTCATCAGTACTAACAACAGGTGCATCAATATGCTCAACTAACTGAGAAGTATTACCTGCATTGCCTGAGGTAGAGGGGGCATCAGCAGGGGGATGAGAGCGAAGGCGATGAACATAAACCTGCAAAGGAAGAGAAATTGATGACTCTGTATTGACAAGGATGAGTGGCTTTGGAGGAGGAGAGACCAATGACTCTGTAGTGATAGTGACCAATGGTTTTAGCTCTGGTGGTAATGGAAAATCAAATGGAGTATCATCAACTGGAGGGGCAGACACAGGACTGAAAGAAAAATAAGGAATATGCTCGAAGAAGGTAATATCTAGACTGTGATACAGGATCATAACACCGATACCCTTTAGACTGATGACAATAGCCACAAAAACACAACGAATCATTTTATCATCAAGCTTATGACGAGTAGGAGACCGATCCTGAATAAAACATGTGTAGCCAAAAACACGAGGGGGGATCGAAAAAAGTGTTCGCTCAGAGAATAAGACCTGCAAGGGGGCCCTATGCTGAAGAACACGACTCGGTGTACGATTGCACAAAAAGGTAGAAGTCGAAATAGCAAAATGTCAATAAGATTTTGGTACCCCCATACCTCTAAGCATACAACGTATCATCCCTATCAGACTCCTATTTTTCTTTTTAGTAACTCCATTTTGCTCTGGAGTATATGGACAAATGAGCTGCTGAAGGATACCCTGAGAAGAAAGGTGAGACACTAAGGCATCAGACACATTTTCTTTGGCATTATCCGAACGAAGAGCACGAACAATGACATCGAATTGTGTTTTAATCATCTGAAGAAATTGAGTGATGACAGGGAGTACATCAGACTTCCTATGCAAAAGGTAGACCCAAGTACAACGGGTATGGTCATCTATAAATGTCACATAATATCCGGCACCTGACAGAGCAGTAACAGGAGAGGATCCCCAAATATCCGAGTGTATTTGGTCAAATGGTTTGGGTGATTGGTGCATATGATGAATATAATTGGTCCAAACATATTTTGATAGGGAACATATAACACAGTCAAGTTTGCCACTAATACAAGCTTTGCTCAAAGTAGGAAATAGCATACATAAATATTTAAAATTTGTATGCCCAAAACGGTCATGCCACAACTGAACAGTTTGTGATGAAAAATCATAACGACAAGTATTAGGTAAACTACTAGCATGTAAACTAGGAACAGATAAAGACAAAGCAGGTGATGGAGGTGGAGGTGGAGAAACTGGTGAAATCGGAAGTGGATTGCCTAAATAATACAGTCCATCTTTCTCATGTCCCCTGATAATAATTCTCTTAGTACTCAGGTCCTGCAAATAACACGAATCAGATAAGAATACAACCGCACAGTGAAAATCTCTAGCTAACTGATGTACAGATAATAGATTCATGGCTAGCTTTGGCGTATGAAACACTGAACGTAATGTAAATCCATCTAGGAGGCAAACTGTACCCCTACTAACAATAGGGGCATGTGTATCATCTGCTAACTGAACTTGAGTATGTAAATGCTCGTCAAAAAAAGTGAAATGATGGGTCTCACCTGTCATATGACCATTAGCACCCGAGTCGAGCATCCAAAGAGGAGACGAACTGGCACAAGTATGAAAGGCACGAGGTATACCTGTAGTAGTTGTAGCAGTAGTAGTTGAACCTTGAGAAATCAAGGCTGACATAAGTATATCCAAGCGAGAAGTAATAGCATCCAAATCACTCTGCTAAGGAGGAGCAGTAACAGTAGTAGCAGGAACAATGACTGTAGGTGGTGGTTCCTTAGCAATGGCAGCAGTACGGTTGGGAGGAGGCGGCTTAAGCTCCATATGGAGCTTCCAACAAGTAGCCCTGAGATGTCCTAGTCAGCTACAATAATCACACTGACGAGAATCCTCATATCTACACTGATGTAAGATACCTTGACGGCGTTGGGCCGAGCGCTATCGACCCCTATACCCGGTGGAAGTACTAATAAATGTCTCAATGGTAGGGTTCTCAACTCCCTCAGTAGTAGTCATATCATCAACAATACAAGGGCACCCGTGACAAAAACAACTCTAAGATAAATAGAGAGATAAAATAAGTGAGAACAATATACCTCCAGTCGAACAGTAACGATAAATAAAAAAGGTTCAGAAAGCTCCCAAATAATCAAGTCATGGTGCCCAGAAATTCAATAAAGAAATCCAATAAAAATAATAAGTGATCTACTGCATCAAAAACAGATCACCGGAGAATCCGCTCCCTCCCAAAAAAGTCCTAGGACAAAGTCACAACGAAAATTGTGACCTAGCAGTGGGCTGGACAATGATCCAGCAGTAGGAATGGTTTTATTGGGTTGGATCTATTATTATTATTATATGGAGAATGGGTAAAGGGTGCTTGGTAGGCTATATATGGCCAGTCGGTTTGGTTTCAGTGGGTATATGGTATTGTGTTTATGGGTTTCGGCGTATTTGATATATGTTGTCGGTGCTGGTTTGAAGTTTCGGTGGCTAGGTTTCGTCTGGACTGGACAGTCTGGTTTTCGACAATTGATATAGGGCAGTCGGTGGAGAGAGATGGGCAGTCGGTGCCTGGGTTGCTGGTGGGTAGTCGGTGTGATGCCGCTTGGTTCAGTCGTCACTGCGTTGGTTTGGCGCTGTCGATTTACAACTTTGTGGTCAGTCAGTTGTGATGTTTTGTGGTCAGTCGGTGCTGTGTTGATCAGTCGATGTTGTGTTGCTGATTTACAGGGTTTTATGATACCAGGATGTTGTGTTGCTGCTAATCGTCGACTGTCTTGATATTGACGGTTGCTATTCGTCGGTGAAGGATGATGAGGGTTAGGGTTAGGGTTAGGCTTTGATACCAACTTGAAATAATTGTCAGTGAAAAAGGATACAAACTAAGTGTAGAACTTCGTATATATAGCCAATGAAAGTTACAATAAGGATAAAAATGTAAAAAAAAGAAAACTTAATAAACCCTAATAAACTAAGCTACTATATCTCCAACAGATACCAAAACAATATACCATTCACTGTTTATATAGATACAACAGAAGATTACAAAAGATAGAGTACAAATCAGTAGAATCAAAACAGAGTTAATCCTAATCCTTATCCTAATCAAACCAGAGTTAATCCTAATCAAAACAGAAATATCCTAAGCATCCTTATCCCAACCATCAACAGATATATCAAGTCCTAAGCATCCTTATCATGAGTAGATGTATCAGGATCACCATTATCATGTAGAGATAAGTCTGTAGTTTGAATAGAATTAGGATCACATTGAAGAACCGAAACAGTAGGTTGATTAACAAGGACAAATCTAGCAAACGTTTCTGCGTTATTGGTCCAGCTTAACTATCCACAAGTGGATTTATGGTCCCAAAATTAAATGCTATGACAATTACATGCACACATTTGAATCTTTTGTATAGATTTTGCGGCTTCAACAAAAGTTTTTCACCATCATAATTCCTGATAAAACCTACAACAGGTAGCCAACTCAATTCACCTGGGAGCCAAATGACATATCCAGCTAAGCTTCATAGATTCTGGATGCAACTCCTAAATGATTGAAGCACATGCACTTTTATATAAAAGAGAACAAGTTAAGTGGCCACATCGAATAAGTTTTTTTACTTTATTGAGGAAGAAGAATGTGACAACAATTGAAAAAAAGGGCAGCCAAGTGCATAATGATTCAGCCATTACACAGTCCGGATGCGGTCTTAACCCCTCATGTGAAGACGAAGTGACTGTTTTGGTGCCTCGAACTCATGACAACCAAGTCACAGTGGAAGAATCTTACAACTGCGCCAAAGCCATAATGTGCATTTTCCTTGTCAAGAGGGCCCTGGAAAAGAAGAAAGTTCAAAAATGGACTAATACAACACAATCAAATGGGAAACAAAGTAAAAAAGGTAATTGCTCTAGGACATCTCTGTGCATTAGTAATATATGAAAGCTTCATAGCCAAGAAAAGCATTCAACTTGAGCACTGATATCTCCACGACCACGAGGTACTTGTAAACTGAGCGCACGATACATAAATAATCAAAAACATAGGATGAGTAAGGGCGTTGACCTTCAACCTTTGAAATATGGTTGATCGTCAGTGATATCAGTACAGTCATAGAGTTGAAGTCTGTTGGTAAATCGTTGCAAGCCCCATCAGTAAAGCTTCTTGATTGATATGGCCTACCTTTGGTATCAGTAAATGGAACACAGACAAAATTGTAGAAGAAATTTTTATTACAATCTTGAACAATGGTTACATACAAATCTACAATGAGCCTCATTTGGCGACTGAACATGACAATTGAACCAAGAAAAAAATAATGAATATAGGTACAAATATCTGTAACCCACATTTAAAATGACTTGTAATTGGTCTCTTTTGTGTAGGACACCTTCTCTGCTTCCTCGTAGTATTGGTTTCTTCTTGTGTATTTGTGCATCAAAACTATTAACTTGCATCTGCAAAATCACTTGAGTTTGAGACCTCTCCATGGACCGGTTTGCTGCTATGGTCCCCTGGATAGGTGAAAACTCAATTTCTTTCTTGTACCCATATAAGCGACATTTGGAGCAACGAGTGTCGTCTATTTTAACACCGAAGCCACATATCTAACTAATATCAAAATCCTATCTTTGTGAAGCAACCCTTAAACTCGGTCTCCGGTCAAGTTGCAGGCTACTAATTTGCTCCTGAGATCTATTACAAACACAACCAGGGAAAGGATTTGCATAAAAATTCTCCTCTAGTCTTGGCATTTCTCCTGCTTGCCTAAGGTACGGTGCTCCGAGTCTGTTGGTGTGTGACTTCTTCACCTCCAAGGCATATTCTTCCCAAGAAATAGCTCCCTTATCCAACAAATCTATTAGTCTAACAAAATTCAATCTGAAATGAAAATAGGCAAAAAAAAATCAGTGATAGAAGTGATGACTACACAAAAATCTAAACGAATAAAAAGCCAGAAGCAAACAATAAACCTGTCAGGGTTGACTGTTTTTCGAAATCCTTCAAACCTCCTATGCCCCTGCAATGCCTTCGCCATATTTCCATCATATGTGTAAACAAACATATCACTTTCAAGGGCTACAATATAATCCAAGGCTGCAAGACGATTCTGATAGCGCTTGAAAGGCTCCAACTCTTCCTCTGTCGCAAGAGTGGAGTGGGAGAAAACATTTGGAAACTCTGAACGAAATGCGTCCATGCTGTTACTACCATAAATTTCCCCTGCAACTATGTATATTGTTGTGGATGAAGGATACCCCATGGCCTTTAGGAATAGAGCTGCCTCCCTGGGAGACATTGGGCATCCCCCTTGGAGTCGCCGTTCTTTGCTGTCTATTTCTTTCTCTTTCCAGTGCTTGACATCATACCTCATGATACGAAGTTCCTCAGCTTCTGCTGCAGTGAGATTGTGGCTACAGCCAGTGAATGCGAGCATATCTTTCTCGTATCTGCAGCAAGATCAATCATTTAAGTTCCTCCATAAATAATTGACTTCACACATGATATTTAGGATTACAACTACCTTAAATGAAGAGCTATGAATGGCTCACTATTTTTCCTTAGTCTGTTCACCAGTTTCTTCCCAAGCTCCTCGATCTCATTGGTGTACTTGAGAGCCTCATAATTGGCACGGCATCTAAGCCTCTGGATAGAGGCTGCGAGGCCATTGTTAGCAAGTCGTGAATCAGTATGGGTGAACTTGATCACCTTATGCCGCTTCAACAAAGAAAGAATCTCCCCTCTGTAGTAACTAGCCTGCATATGAAGCATCTAAGATAAAGTTCCAACACTAGATTATTGCAATGAAACATAAAAGTACTTTACAAGTTCATATTGCTTGCACACCTTCGACCATGATACAGGGGCCTTTGGAAAGGGCTTCACTGTTGCATAATGGGGTGGCAAGGATTCAACTATCTCAATATCATCTCTTAAAACCTCAATGAAGTGCTTCCAATGAAAAATATCTTTAAAATCACTGCAAAAGTAGCAGAAAATTTTTAAAAAGACCACAATAAAGACTTAAAGATACTCTCTGCTAAATACTAGGACTAACAAATTATACCTGGGATCAGTCCAAAAGGACTGATGATCGAGAGAAGGAAGAACCAAGGTGGCATTCATAATTTTTGCAATAGCAACCATATCACATATCTGCATTTGAATCAATGTATGTAGTTAGAATAATATCACTACTTGTTATAACAGAAAATAGAAAACTAAATGTAAGTTAGACTTGAAACCTACTCCAGTTCTCATCTGATTCAATCCACCATTAGCATGAACCATGATATAACCATTTGTTGCTGAACCCGTCCCTAAAAGAAGTTCAAAGGGGCACATATTAGGAGAAAAAATCATTTTGTGCACTGGTGTTCGATAAAAATGGAAATTGGAAAACTGGACATACTTATTCGATTCATTGGTCGAGCAATGCATTGATAATAACTATCGCTATTTGGTTTCATCCAAATTTCTGGGACCTGGAGAAAAGAAACAAAAATTGTAAGTCCTACCAGGATCACAACACAATCTGTCTTGCATATAAATGTCACAGAAAAAAGCGCCTTAACAAGGTGTAAAACAAAGTGACAAATAAGACTATAACGGTCAACTAATCATCAGAAAGCCACTTCGAAAATAAAATTGATGGTCAAAAGGCAAATGGCCAAATTCAATGCACGGTTGGTTTGTGGCCACTGGCCAGCCAAAACTAAGATGCCAACCATTCAATATTCAACAAATCTACAAACCGTGTTCTAAAAAGATATTCCAAAACACAAAAGGCTTTGATGTGAGAAATGAAAAGACCAGACCCTCCAAAAGATGAAATTCAGAATAAGAAGGGAAAAACTTGTGGTAAATTCAGAAATCACCCAAAGAAAATGCATGAAAACGGCAAAAACCCGGCGTGAATATCCTAATAACCCTTGTACCAAAAAAAATGTAATTAACGAAAAAACTTGTATCAATTGGTAGCTGAGAAGAAGCACGAAAATAACATAAATCTGAGTTTTGATAGTTTTGGGTCATTCAAGATTAGGCATGTTGAATTAAATTTTCTATCTTTTAACCACCAAAACTGAAATAAATACCCAGAAAAAAAATGATTTTGAAATTCAATTTTTTTCTGCTTTACTCAAAATTCTCAGCAATCAAACAGAGGGTCTTATGGGGAAAGAAGAAAGAATAAATATCAAACAGATTACACTTACAGTTAACTCTTTCATCAGTCGGAGGTTAGGGATGACAGCACCGGAAGATGCCTCAGACAAAACCCTCTGAGCATAAGACCAATCACCCTTAAACGCCTGAAACATCAACAGTCCATTCTCTCTCCTAATAACCTTCCCATTCACCTCTACTAAATGACCACCCATGAATGAAAATTTCACAAAAACAGACAAAACCAACATCATCATCAAAACCCCAAATACAATACGCCCCACATTCGTTCTTGATTTCGAAAAATGCCACACTGTACATAATCTGAAGAAAAAATCTTCTGCACCCAAAACCCACATTTCTGGCACCCTTTTACGTACCACCATATACCGCCTTAAAGGGTGGTGCTGGTGGTTATGGCAATGGCACCCACCGTGGCCGCCGTCATTGTCACTGTGTGTATCGTGATTTTCATGATCAGCGTGATCTAATTTACAGGGTATGTTATCTGCTGGTTTCTCTGTTTCTGTCATTAAATCTGCAACGCGGCGTCGGTGAGTGGTGGGACCGCCGAGTCTGGGGCTACCGCTGGCGGAGTTGATGGCGGTTTTGCCAACGGTTGACATAGCCACAGAGAAATGAAATAAATGAAACCCAAGTCAAAAAAGACAGGAGAGAGGAGAGAGAGGAGAAAATTATGGAGCAAGAAGGACGACGGTAATGGAGGTTTCTATTGAGAACCGTTGCTTTTTGTTTTGTCCATGGTATGGTTCTGAGGCTGAGGGTGTGGTTTATTCCATTTGTTTGCTCCCTCTCCCTCTTCCTCTCTCTACCGTAATCAAAGGAGAACAGAGAGATTCTTATGGCGTTATACTGTTTAATTGTGTACTTCTCTTCTACTTTGTGTGGGGTTGTGCTCATACATATATAGTAAAAGTCTTTTTCTCTTTCTTACGTAAGCTTTTTTTATTGTTATGGTAATTTATGAAAAAAAATATTCACCGTATCGACCCTGCCAATATTGTTATGTAATACCATATATTAATAAAAAAATGAATCTCACACAAAGCAATGGCTACCCATCCATGGAACTACTTATTTTTCTTTTATGTAAATTAATAATTATTCAAGTAAAGTTTATTTTATTTATTTAATATTTTATTATTAGTTGGTGATATCATGTCATTAATGTTGACATAATATCATCGTTGTATTGAATACTAAGGTTAACCTATATCTAAAAGTACAGTGCGATGTAAATGAAAAGTGATGGATTTGGGAGAAAAAAATTCAATGTGAATGATTTTGAGAGGGATGTAGGTGACTATCGAATAAACTTATTGAAATTTGTTTTATTTTATATTATAAATTCTCTTATCATGCAAGTATGTTTTTTCTTTCATATTCTATATTGGGTGTAACAGTTATACCATGTCAACAATATTCATATAGTATAATTATGGGTGTAACAGTTATATCATGTCAACAATATTCATGTAGTATAATTATCTAATTATAAAATGGGAATTGATGATACGTGAATAAGAATTTTAACCAAATATGAGCTCGAGAAGCGAGGTCAGACAAGGAGGTCAGACGGAGAGCTCAGAGCTCTGAAGCCCAAGTCCTGAGCTCTTCTCTGATGAAAAATCAGAGGAGTCAAGGAAAGAACAGTTGGTCAGAAAAAAAAAAGTCCACAGAGTAGCTATAGAGCAGTGATCAAGGTGTGAAACTCTCAACCACCCAATATCCCCTTCTAAAATCAAGAAAAGCCCCGCGGATGAAGAACAAGAATCTCGCTGCAGATCTCTTAGAGATACAAATTGTGCTATAAGGCAAGAAAAACCTAATACCATCAAAAATACTTTGTAAGTCATATCTATAGTGAATAAATATAAAGGAAGTAGGAAACTCCCTTGAAGAGTGGATTAGCCGGACTCTCAAGTCGATGAACCACTGTAATTGCACTATGTTTTGCTTCCTTGATTCCTCAGAAATCCTGTCGTTGTTTGCACGAGCATTGTAGCTCAGGTCCACACTTGTTCGTATGATCCACGAGTTATGCTCATCTTTTTTACCACACCATTAGGACCTATTTTTTTATCGTTGATGTGGTTATGTATTACATAGTTGAGGTAGTTATGAATTTTTGTTAGGATCATCTAAATATTTGTTTACTTATTAGTGAACGATTATACCACGTAATACTGCTGAAATGGTGCAGCAGTTATACTCAATATTTTTTCCATATTCAAGTACTAGGAATTTTTGGTGAAGTGACAGAATTGCCCTTGATGTGGTGGATGTGTTTATTTTAAGAGAGAAATTAATATGGTGGAAGAATAAAATGTGGAGGGATTGTTCTATTTTGGAGATCTTGGGTCCCTATTGGAAGATGATTCTCTTTATTTTGCACCAATAATGGAGTTAGGTGTGACTTGTGATCATTCAATTTTAATTAGATTATTGTGATTTTAGGTTTGAGTTGCATGCATATTCATCTTTTTAGTTACGTCGTCTTGAGAGATATGATATATAATTTTTGAATGACTATAAAACCGACCAATAATGTTTTTAGCAATAAATTATATGTTATTGAAACACTAAAGGGTTTTATGAGTTGGCGTTGATGAATGTTTTTGCTGAATTATTAAGTGATTCATAGGATCATTCATGTTCATGAATGTGCTTCAAATGACACTTGATTCAATGAATTTAAGTTTAGTTGGTTGAATTATGGCATAATGAAAATTTTCTAAAAAAATAACAGTTAAATACACGAGAATCCCTTTATTATAGGATCTAGAAGAGTTAGATACATAATTCTTACCCAATAGACTATTTCTGTGAGGTATGTCTATCTACACAAATTTAAACTTTTTTTTAATTTTGTGGTTCAATGGTTAAGAGTGTTCAGGTCAGCTTACGTACACTGTGACTAATCTCTTCTGGTCCGATCAAAAGCAGGTCATCTTTACCGAGATTAGGGTATTCATTAAGGATAAATCTTTCATGATTTGACCCTAATAAATTGTCTAGAACTCAAAATGTGAACAAATGTTGGGGTTCAATCAATGAGTTTACTTTGAGGGAGTTTTGATAACAATGGCATTATTCAGCACCGCACTTCAATGCCTTCTATGATGTCAAATTAAAAATATTGGTTTGGTGTTTTAAGTTCAAACTTCAACAACATTTCCACTTATCTCATCTTGTGCCAAAAGCACTTGAATGTGTTGAATTTCCGGAACTTGAGCAGTCTATTAAACATTCTCTTTTAGGAATTTGGCAATAAATACGATCCAATCCAAACTGGAAGCTATTAGCATCAACTTTTGTGTTGAATATTTCAAGTAGTCACCTACGTAAATTTAACCCAAAAGGCAAAATATGAAAGAAAGGAAGAATAATGAGACAGCGATTTCAGGAACATAGAAAAAGTATAGAAGCACATCTTCCTAATTTATTGCAAGAATTTCAAGTTGAATAGGAGTAATGTTGGGACCGTTCTCGATTATTTAAAAAAAAAGGTATAGAAAAGGTTTGGATGATGCTTTTGGGAGATTTAATTTAGGTAAGAATTGCATGTTGAATAGGAGTTACGTAAGATCAGTTGCTTGTATGTTATGACTGTCAAGTTATCAATTCAATATCTTGATTTTTGTATTCAAGGTAAAGGGTTAGGGTGTGTCATTCTATTCGATAGTGGGTTGCAAAGGTCAAGGTATTTTATCAATTGGGTTCTTTTACGGTTTGAGGGTAGTATTTTACCAAACAAGCATATCGCTTGTTTGTTTATATATAGCTTCTAATATTATCTTTATTCATTTTTGTATTAGATATCTCTATCGATTCCATCAGGGGCATCGACACCTACACGAAAAGGTTAAGGTATTAATCTTACCTTCATTTTAGAAAGAATGAAATATCGTATATTGCTATTTCGTGTACAACCTTACCTATTCGAACTGATGTAAAATTTTAAAATCGTAATTGTTCAACCGATTGTAAAGGTGTAAAGCTACCTCTGAATTTTTTTCTATGCCTTCGAGATTAATGACTTTAAATAATTTTCTAACTAATAACATAATGGACTAGAACGTAAAAAAAAGTTGGAACGTAAAGTAGCAGATAAACTAAACTTGAAAGATAAAGAGAATATTATACTTAACATTAAATTAAAGCGGTAAAAATCACCACAGTGATGAATTACAACTAAACGTAAAGTTACTGGGAAGTAAAAATAATTAAGTAAGAGAGAGGTTGTCTGTGGATAAAGTTTGTTGTGTTTGATCGTGAATCTTTTCACCGTAGCCCTGTCATTGTTATTTATAGTGATGATCTTCAACCGTCGAGGCCATCTTTTTCGGTCATGATTGTAATCAAGGTCTTTTACGTGTTCAAGATGTGCAAACGTGCACTGAACCGTTTTTAATTGTCAGCTCACGAAGTTTTGTCTCTTCACTTTTTCAGGATTTTTTTAAAGTCTCACTTTCTTAACCGTCCTGTTAAGTATAGATTCTCACAAACTCTTTCATTATCACCATTAAATTTTACCATTTTTTAGATGTAAACAATTTGTACATAAAACTTTCACTTGTAACTGATATTTGAAACAAATAAATGATACATAATCTAAACCACTTATTAAAAAAGCTAGCTCTACAACGGAATACCGGAGCACGAAATGTACCATTAGGTCGATTAGAGGACAAAATGTCAATAGACAATATGCTGATAAGTAGTAGTATATTACCCATGGATTGTTGCTAGTTTGATTACCAAAGGTCCAAAACTAATGTGTAGTTGATTGCAATTGTGTCCGAGTCACTCTCTCATCTCTTTCTATAGGGCACAACCCATTAATACGTTGCAAAATCAACAAATTTGCAAGTATACATTTAATCAAAAATACATTGAGATTATAAGTTGTTGGTTCATCAAATTTGTTAATAGTTAAATAGACACAAACCCAATTAAACATCCTTCTAATTAGCAAAATTCATAATCAGGTTGGAAGCATTGAACAAATAACTTAAAAGCAAAGACTCAACCCTCATCTGATCCAATACATTAACAATCCTACTTACGAGCAATTAGTATAACTATCACATAGAGAAAATAGGTTAACGTTTTTAGTAGGGCTGCTAATTCTTAAAATAATTGTCTATCAAACACAAAATTATTGAATATTTTGTTTAATCTTGACAGTTAGAGTCATAAAAAAGTTGACTCGTCAAACCAACTTAATACGGGATGAACCTGACTAGAAATTACTTGTAGACAATATAATTTTTTTTTTTTATTTCAACGGTCAAGGGTTTCTGAATCAACTTATACGCACAGCAACTAATCTTCTCCCCTATCCAATCAAAAGCAGGTCATTTACGTCAAAATTAGGGTATTCATGAGGGATAAATCACTCATGACCTGATCCGGAAGAGTTATCAAAATTCAAATTCAAGACGTTAAATCAGAATAAGTTTTAATGGGTATTTCTTGAATCCTAAAGGGGACCCTAGTAGGATAAGATCTTTCATTGGAAAGAGGTCCAAATGGAAAAATGGGGTGAGCTAAATTTATTGTAATTATCCACGAATTTGAATTTTGAATTGAGAATTGATACTGTAAAACTTATCTGAACTTATCAATTTTTTCTAAGATAATATTAAAAATCTGATCGAAAACTTCCTTCATTCATTATTAAGTCAAAGGTTCCACGTCTCCTAATCAGCCCGTGCTTTTTGGAAGAATCCTGCCCGTATTCATGGGCATACCATACCGCCTGGCAGTGTAAAATTTCTCTATTTGGGACCAATCAATTCATTAACCCGTGTGTTTGGAGTTTGACAAATGGACATGGGTGGAGGCG